TGTTGACCCTTTCCAAAGGTTTTGAGGACTTTGTGGTATTTTATGATGCATCCATCACTGGTTTGGGGGCAATCCTTATGCAGAGGAGATGGGTGATTGCTTATACTTCGCGGCAACTGAAGTCGCATGAGACGCGATATCCTACTCATGACTTGGAGTTGGGGGCAGTGGTGTTTGCCCTCAATATTTGGAGACATTATCTTTATGGGGTCCGTTATACTGTTTACATGGATCACAAGAGTTTGAGATATCTTATGGATCAACCGAACTTGAATATGAGGAAGCACAGGTGGCTGGACATAGTCAAGGATTATGACTGTGAGATCCTTTACAATCCGAGTAAAGCGAATGTGGTAGCGGATGCTTTAAGCCACAAGTCGGATGGATCTTCAGTTAGGGGGATGTGTATGAGGATATCGGTTGATTCTCCGCTTTTGGGTTTGATCAGAGAGGCACAGACATAGCGAGTTAGGAAGGAGAACTGGAAGCAGGAAAGGATCAGAGACGAGATCGACAGGTTTGTCAACGATAGTTGAGGGTTGTCGAACCGGTGTAGTCGGGTTTGGGTTCCAGTTTATGGTGGAATTAGGCAGATAGTGTCGGAGAAGGCTCACAAGTCTCGCTTTGGAGGTTCCCATGTGGAAGTGGGAACATATCACCATGGATTTTATCACCAGGTCACCAAAGACGGCCAAGGGTTTTGATGTTATATGGGTCATCGTGGATCGATTGACCAATATTGCCCACTTTTTTGCCATCCGGGAGAGCTCTTCGGCCAAAAAGTTTGTCAATGTGTATATCCGGGAGATTGTTGCTTGACATGGGGTTCTGGTCTCTATTGTTTCAGACCGAGATGTTCGGTTCACTTCCCGCTTTTGGCAGAAGCTCCACGAGGCTACATTTCAGCACTATATACCACCCGCAGACCGACAGTCAGAGTGAGCAAACCATCCAGACACTTGAAGATATGTTGTGGGCTTGTGTCATAGATTTCGGTGGGAGTTGGGATTCCTACCTACATCTTGCGGAGTTTTCCTACAACAACAATTATCATTCCAGCATTGGTGCCCCACCTTTTGAGCTCTTGTATGGTCGGAGATGTCGTACTCTGGTATGTTGGGGAGAGGTTGGTCATAGGGTCATGGGAAGGATCGAAGTAGTCCTTCAGACCACAAAGCTTATTCAACAGATTAGGTAGAGACTACATATAGATCAAAGTCGGCAGAAGAGTTATGCCGACCAACGCCGATTAGAGTTGGAATTTTAGGCTGGCGATATGGTATTACTGAAGGTCTCACCCTGGAAGGGTGGATACGCTTCAGGAAGAGGGGGAAATTGGGTCCCCAATATATTGGACCGTTCCGTGTGATAGCTAGGGTGGGCCGGGTGGCCTACCGGTTGGATTTGCCGAGTGAGCTCAGTTAGATCCACAACACTTTCCATGTCTCTCAGTAGCGGAAGTGTATGTTGGACAGTGAGACAATGGTGCCTTTGGATGATATCCAGGTCGATGAGTGCCTAAATTATATTGAGAGGCCGATGGCTATATTGGAAAGAAAGTTGAAGGTCCTGCGTAACAAGGAGATACCTTTGGTAAAGGTTCAGTGGCAACATCGGAGAGGTTCCGAGTGGACCTAAGAGCCGGAGGTTGAGATGCGAGAGCATTACCCACTGTTGTTATCTGCAGCAGACTTCGAGGACGAAGTCTAAGTCAAGTAGGGGAGAACTGTAACATATTATTTTGAGGTACTTTCATTTTTGACCCTTATATTGTGATTTATTTCATTTTGGTCCTTATGATGTAAGACTTGTGGATGGGAGGGGCTATTATTGCCTTTTTGGATTATGGGGGCGGAGCCACGTATGCTAGGTGTACGTTTTGTGTACGTTGGGCGTACGAGGTGAAGACCCAATCCCTAATCTTTAGGGTTTGGACCATATTTATTCATCATTATCTCTCAACCTTGGCTCTTTTCATCAGCCTCCATCCTCTCAAAACGTCCTTGCCACCCTAATCCACCTTGTGAAGCATTTCTAAGCTTGTGTGTGTATTTTGTGCCTTTGAAGAAAAAGGAAGGAAGTAGAGACCATCTTGAATGAGTGAAACACTTTAGATCCAGAATCACACCATCATTTGGCATCACTTGGAGGTATAAAGTTCTGAACTTGGCGAAGTTTTACTTAGATCTTGTTTTGGGCTTGATTTTACGTTCTTTTTGTCCCAAAATGTGGTGATTCTTGAGCATAGCATGTTCTTGACCCAGTAAGTCGTCCTTTCAGACCTTATGAGGGGTCTTAAGTCATAAAAATGTGGTCTTGTTGGTTAGTTTTGCTCCATGCACTCTTTAGAAGGTCTTAATGCATTAAGATGTTGTACTTTGGGGTATTGGGCACTTAATGGAAACTTTATGACCCTTGAGGATATTTTAGGCTTGGATCTGTAATTGGAAGCATTAAGTCGAAAAGTCAATGGATGAATAGATTAAGAAGCGGGTAGCTGCGCGTACGCAGATATGGCCTCGGTGCCTCGGACGTCTATACACCCCGTGTACGAGGCTAGATTCAACTCGGCTGTGTTAACTCATTGACTTTGAATTTGACTTTTTCCAAGTTTGACCTAGGGGTATTTTTGGTATTTTGAGTTGTATTTGAGACTGATCATTATTTGATGAATAGGTTATCGTTGAGTTGCTATTTGGAGCCGTGTTCTGTTCAGCGATCTTGTTCAGACTGTGAGGTGAGTTTCCTCACTATACTTATAGGTCGAAGGCACCAAGGCCGACCCATTGGATTGGATATCCTGCTCTGTGATAGAATATCGTTATGTTGTAGTGATTTGTGAGATCTGAGTCCTGGTATATAGGATGTGAGTATGCAGTAGTGATCTGTAGATCTGTCTGATAGCTTGTTGGCCGGTTATATGTTTATCTGTTATATGTGCACATATTTTAGTTTATGGTTAAGGCTTTAGTGGTATGTGAGTGAGCCAACAGACCGGGGGCATTCGCATTCTAACCCGATGGTTGATTGGGCCCAAGGGTATTCCATCCTGAGGATGACTGGACCCGTTGTATATTGGCATTCCAACCTGGGGTATTCCATCCCGATGATGACTGGACTCGGAGGTTGACTGGGCCTGGGTATTCCAACCCGATGGTTGATTGGACCCGACATGCTTGTTTGTATATGTTATCTGTTTGTGTGGTGGTGCTTTGGGGGAACTCACTAAACTTTGGCTTACGATTTTAGTTTATTGTTTCAGGTACTTCTGATGATCGCGGGAAGGCGAAGGCGTGACCCTACACATTCTCTGTTTTTATGGCTTTGTGATTTTGGGATACCATGATATTGTTAAACAATTTGAAACAACTATTTTGTAACATTTTATGATCATGGGTTGCTCTTAAAAAGTTTAAATTTGTTGTGATTTTTGAGTCGTTACAAAAATATCACATACAACGCAACGTAATAAACAACCATGGATTATCAGCAACCTTGAGACTATCAACAGTCCTATGGGCTCACAACTTACCTATAGGTTATCAGCAATCATATGGGTTATCAGTAACCTTACAGACTATCAACAGTCCTGGAGTTATCAACAACTCAATAAATACAAATAAGAACAATAAAAAAATAAGACTCAACTAGTCTAGCATGCACCATACTATGACATAGGTAATACAATGAGAAAACCCATCTTACAAATAGCAGACTAACACAACAGCTATCTGACAGTGAAGACCGGTACTAAGAATCACATAATCATCAATATAGAAGTACCTTCTCAGTTTACACCTTAAAATCCTCAAGTTGACTTTTGGTCAACTTGGTCAAAAAATCAACGGTCAAAGTCATCTCCAAACTGATCTCCACGTCGTGGCAGCTACACGACAAAACAGTCGTGATGATACCATACATCGCGTCGTGGCAAAACAGACTGTCACATCGTGGGAACTGGTCTCTCACAACTAAATGGATTAAGCTCTTAACCCTTAACCCCATGAGCTATAAATCTTAGATCTGAACCTTCCCAATGCCTTATTGGATAAATTTTCCAACTTTATCTATTAAGACATCCCAATAAGCCAATATTTCAAATCATAAGCTATTAATGGTTGCACCCATTGCTTTGTGATGTTTATGAAATCTCTAATAACAACAAATTCTATCAAGATAGGTATTTATATGCTTCAAATTTGACGGCTATTAACCGTGAACAACTAAACAATAACTGCCAAATATACACGTCATTTGGATATTCACAGAAAATAAATAATTAATTTCGTAATTAATAAATTAAAAATATTATTATCCTAAAACCCTTAAAGCCCATATTTTTGACTATTTATATTAGTTAATTTATATCTAATCGAAGCCCAATTTAGCTAACCTAACCTCACAATCCAACTGCTTTTTACTCTTAATTGAATCATTTTCATGGAATGAAAAGACAAAATGTTACAAATCTATCAGAAGTTTTCTTTCTTTCCAATGTGATAAGGTCTCAATACATTAAAAAAACAGTCTTCAAGGTTGATCGTCTTTGAGATATTAATTACTATGGTTTTGTCATCATATGATAGGTATCATCCGATGTTCTTACTTATGATGCTGTGATGATTAAATTTCGAAGAATTTAACTAAATGTCTACTTTTGTTTGTCTATCAACTAACTTATAAAAGTAAAAAACCAACAATGTTTTGACGGGGTTCCATATGGGGTTGAGATCATGATGGCAGGAGCCTCTATAATAATAATAAATATTATTTTAAACGTTTTTCTAAAGAAACAATGTTAATAACAAAAAAATTATTAATAACAAAATATAGATCATAAGGAAAAAAAAAATCATTTTTGAACCAAAACCAAGCATTTGGGGTCATGTGTTTTGATTTTTGATTTATATCATCAACCCTGGGCCTTTATATAAAAAATGGTTCTTTGGGCTTTCTTATACTATACAACCCGGAAACAAATCCAAGATTCCCAAAAGCCCCCCTTAAACCTATTCAATTTCATATTTGAGCCCTAACCCCCCTCCTTCTCCTCTCTTTGCTCGAATTTGTACGATTAACGAAGAGCAGCCATGGTTTGGTTTCAATGCGAGGACTGTGGTGATAACCTTAAGAAACCGAAGCTCGCCAATCACTTCAGAGCTTGCTCCGCTAACAGGGTTCGATTTCTGATTTTTTATTCGTCTTTTTGATTCCGAATTTGCTATGTGGAGTAACTACTCTTCTTCTGTATGTCTGTTAGTGTTTGATCGTATTTGTGTTTGTGTAGCTATCATGCATCGATTGCGGGCAAATGTTCGGGCAACAGAGTGTTCAAGGTCACACGCAATGCATCACAGAAATGGTGTGATTTCTATCTCTTAATTTTTCTTAATTTTATTCGTTTTTTGAATTTTGTTTATCTTCTAATCTCTAGAGCTGTTAAGTTTTCCCTGAATTTGTTTATTGAATTGTTCAAACGATGAATCCTTTTCTGATTTGGGATTAGGAGATGATGTTTTGGTTGTTTTGTCTTCAGGAGAAATATGGTCCAAAGGGTCAAACGAAACCTGCACAAGGTACACCTGGAAAACCTAATAGTGCGTCAAAGCCAAAACCAGAAGTCGACATAAATGTCGGATTATCAGAACGTCCTCCATGGTTTTGCAGGTTTGTTGCTCAAAATCTAACTTGATCTCATTTGAACAGAGTTAACTTGTATACTTACATGTTCTTTAATCAACAAACAGTCTATGTAACACGAGTGCTACTAGTAAGCAAACGTTGCTTTCACATGCTGATGGGAAGAAACACAGAGCAAAAGCACGAGCTTTTCATGCATCAAAGCAACCACCCAAGGAAACAGAGGAACAGCCTACTCCTAATATTGAAAGTAAATCTGAAAAAGTTGAGGAAACACATACATCTGAAAGCAAGAAGAGAAAGCTTGAAGCTTTTGAAAAGAATGGTGAATTGGGAAATGGTGAAGTGATTCATGATGCAAATGTGGAGTCAGAGGAACCCAAGAAAGTGAAATGTAAGAAAGAAGATGGTGAGAAGAGGATAAAGTGGAAGAAGATAATAACTTCAGTCTTGAAATCTGTGCGTATACTACTATACTTTTGTATACCACTTTTGAATTCAATCTCATTGGTTTTTGTTTAAAAAGTTGTGTTTTTCTTTTTTGTATGTGATAGAATCCGGATGGCAGTATGAAGATGAGAAAACTGCGAACACAAGTTTTGAAGACACTTAAGGAATCTGGGTCAACAGTAGATGATAATGAACTTGTTGAGACACTTGAGCATAAGGTCAGAGTACAAAACGACTTTATTATTATTTTTTTTAAACCTTGTGTCATGTCTTTAACAGAAATATTGAATTTATGACAGATTAATTCAAGCTCCAAGTTTGCTGTTAATGGGAAGTATGTACAATTGGCTGCTAAAAGTTAAGAGATTTTTGCAGATTGAATCCTTCCTGAATTGCAATTTAATCGCCCAGGTTCATATGCCTTGATGGGTAATTGGGTCTTTTTGGTTTTGGGATGAACTTTTGTAGATGAAAATTTTGTTAGATGGCGTATTTTATAAACAAAGGAAGAGTGTAACCCTATTTATGTTATTGTTAAATGATTATTTAATCGAATTTTCGGATAGTCATTGCTTTACTCTTTCTAGACTAAAAAAAAAAGATTGATTTTGTGCCAAATGTTTCTTGATAGCAATTTGATAAGTTGGTATGTGAGAATGGGTAAAAAAAAAGATTGATTTTGTGCCAAATGTTTCTTGATAGCAATTTGATAAGTTGGTATGTGAGAATGGGATGGTTGGCTGATGCACAAAAGCTGTTTGACGAAATGCTTGACAGAAACGACAGTTTTTCTAGACTACTATTTAGAAAATGTTTTCGGCCAAAATAAATAGACTATATAGACAAGAATTTATGCATAAATACATCATTTACATTTTTAATACTTCATTGATGTAACACTTGATAGGGAAAAAAAAGCAAGTACTTGGCCAGCCAAAGATTCAATCAATAACAGGCTTAGAGAACTAGCTTCAAGGTGCAAATTAGTAGCTATAGTTTTTTATTTGTACATTAGTATAAAACATGTAAAAGTATATAAAATGATTTGTCAAAAACCACATCATTCATTAATTTTAAAAAAAGGTAATTAAGTTGTATACAAAATTATAAAATAGTTTTTTTGTTAAACGTTATTTAGAGCGACTTTTGAACTTAGAGCTTTTCGTTTAGGTGCTACTATATATATACCTTTTGCTTGCATAAAAAAAATCATGTAAAGATGAGGGATAATACACTCACACCCACCCACCCATATAGTGGTACAAATAATTGGGAAGGTACTTATAGAATTAGTCTTTGTTTTAGTTAAAAGTTAGAAGCTCTCAAAAATTGCGTATTAAACATGTCACATGTCTGTAGATAAAGTTAGAAGACTATTTAGAAATAAAATATCAAACGATCTTGTATTCAACTAAACTGTTTACTATAAAATTCAGTCAATACCTTATAATTATTGTGAGATTATTTGAAAAAATGACACAATGGCTCAAAGATGTATTTCAAATTTGTCCATTCAGTTATATAACTTATTATTATGTTGTATGAGAGAATAAACTTTAAAATGATGTGTCTTTTTAGCCAGATTCATGTGCCACTTAAGCATTTTTCCATTTAAAAGTCAAAATCACATTTTGACCATTTTGTTTGAATCTGTGGCTTGACACTAACTACCTTCTTCTCCGCTAAATGGAACTACAAGAACCACTAATCTGATTCGAGTTTTGAGCAGAAAATACATTACACAACTGAATGGGCAAATTCGATGTGTCATTTCCCCTTGAAATAATTAAGGTTTATCACATATTTACTAGATAACATTTCATCAATTTTATATGAAATGTGGTAAAACTTTTCAGTTTTCCAAAAGAGCAAGTCAAAAGCCAAAACAGAAACAAAACCACAAAAGATACCCACAAACACATATGTAAAAAAACCCAAGTTTCAAGACATAACCCCAACACAAACGCTCAAAAAACTTGGATCATGCAATGCAAAAGATGTGAGGTTCTTGATTAACTTTTGTACAAATTTCACAGCACAAAAGCAGTTGCGAAAACAAAAACAAAAACGCTTCTCAAGATTGTACAATTTGGTCGTATACATAATTTGTGTCGCTAAAAATCACAATTTCAAACATTTTTCATGTTTGTATTCGTATCAACATTATCTTCCACCAAACACCAAAACCATCACTACAATAAACAATATAACCGAACACCCCATTGCCTGCAAATTGCAAACCACATATATACATACTCCACTTAGTTTCATATTTTCGGGTAAAATATATAAAGTTTAGATTATTTTATTTAGATATATAAATACTACTATTTTGACCAATAAGAGATAGAAAGGGGCTTACAGCAATAGCAGAAGCAGCAAGACCAGCACGTTCCCTAGGATCTTTCCGATAATAATTTCCAAAATAGAGGAATGTAGCATAGAACCACATCAAAGGGAATGCAAACCCTATTAAGAAACTACAAGGACAATGACAACAGTGTCAGAATGTCAGTCAGTGTCAGTGTCAGGTGTTTCTTTTTTACTTAACACAAACATGACTTGGTACTTGTTTCTAAACAAAAGGGTAAAATGGTCATTTACGCAAATAAACAGTCATTTCTTCTTCAACATCACTTCTAAACAAAAGGGTAAAATGGTCATTTACTCAAATTCATACGGTTCATTCAGTCCCAAAACACGGAAGAGATTTGTCATAAAGGGTAAAATAGTCATTTACTAAAATGACATCACGTAATGAGAATAAAGGAAACTTACGAAAACCATCCGATTCCACATCCAAAGCAAGGAAGAGGTTTGTCATAAAGGCCTTGTTGAAAATCATCTGAATCCTTAATAAGTGAATACTTTCCTTTCTCACGATCATTATTATTTGACATATGCCCTGCCATCATCAACATGTGTCTCCTACATAAGTATAACCACTCCCATAATTTTTCTTATACATTTCAATGCACACAATTACAAACACGTAAAACACATCAAATCAATAAGGGTCGTTTTAGTCATTCAATGTTCTCATTTCATGGTCTAGTTATATTATTATGTGATCATTTTTCTATTGTTGAGTATCTACTACCTTTAAACATTGAAAAATATCGTGAAGATGGCCTCAAAAGATCAAGATGCTTATCCGAAACTGATTTGACCAATTCAATACCATTTTTCAAAACCTTCCCTTCCTCCATTGCAGCATCTGTGAAATCAGAAAGTCCCAATTTATATTCATTAGTATGAGATGAATATAAATTGGGATATAACCTTTTTAGGGCTAACATAACATCTTTGTACCTCGTTTATTGTAGTGATTATCTTAATTATGATTATTCAATATCACATAAACACAAAATAAAGGTCCAAACACCCCCTAATTTTTCTTGCCCTATAAGAAAGCTATATAAAAGATAACTTTAAAGCAAGACATACTTGAAGGATGCTAAGCATATACTCCATAAAGAAGACATTGAAAGCAAACCAAAAGGGGAAACTTTATACAAATATAAAAGGATGTGAGAAAAAGTTGAAGTCAATTACTTTGATCCATTTCCACTGGTTTAAAGTTGAGAGCAAGCTGCTCACCAGCTACTTGCAACCTCTTCTTGAAGTACCTGTTTCATATGTTCAATAGACTACATCAAATTGGATACAATATAATAAAGTATTAACTAATAAAAGCTTGTTATATCTAATAAATATATGAATAGTAATATGCGGGAAAATCAGCCATTTAAATCCTTCAATCCTTGAGGTATCGGATCACACACCATCAAGTTCAAACAAAATCCACAACTAAATCCAGTCAATTTGCTATACAATTGATGATTAGTTTACAAACCCTAAAAATAGTTCCTGAATTTCTTACCTTTTTTTTTCTGTTCTTTGTTAATTTATAATTAGTGAAGCCTAAAATACAGATGTGAATCCTAGTTAGTTTAAATGCCCGTGAATTCTAAGTTCAAAATTCACATAAAACTAAAAAATTATCAAGAAATCACAGATATCGAAAACCATGATCATAAACACCACTCAATAGACCAAATCAAAATCAAATACACCCACATAGCAAAAGTGAAAATAGAAACCACATTCCATAGGGTACAATCAATACAAAAACTTACCTAATAATGATTCGTGATTGTATTAAAGCGCGATTCCGGATCAGAAATTAGGAGTAATATTCGTTTGATAATCGGAGAGAGATTAAGGAATTGGAAATTTCCAGAAGCAGAAGATATATTGACGAGCAACAAAAATCGAAAAGGGTTTTTAATTCTTAGAATTAATCAAGAACAACAGGAGCAGAGCTCAATTGACTCTCTCCCTCTGACCCTCTCTCTATATCTCTCTCGGTGATTGTCGGTTACACCAAAATGAACAAAATAAAGGAACAACTTAAAAGATACTTAATGCGACTTTTTAAAAAGAAAGTGACTAATTTTAATATACGGATAATCACCAAAATAATTGAGAAAACAAAAAAATAAAAGTAAAAACAGTTAAATTTATTAAATTATTCTTCAAAATAATAGCCAACACTTAAGATTGGTTCGCTGCACTTACTTTTTGTTAAACAGAAAATTTAATATACTTTTAAAATTCATTTATGTCTACGACGAGACTTGAACCATCAAACAACACCTGATGGGTTATATTGCTACTTAATTATATTATTATTAATGAAGAATGGTGTCGCTTTGTCATTTTCAATCGTTTTATCCTACAAACTTTTAACCATAGCCACTTAAATGGTCTATTTACAGTTTTCGAGTGATCGTCATTCTTCTTTTCCCCACGAATGCGACATTTCTTCTCCCCACAACCGCGACAATTCTTCTCCCCATGTTCACCATCTTCCATATCCCACCAAAAGAATGACTTAATTTCGCCAAACACTTCAAACACCCATGATAAGGAGTTTGCTACCATCTAAACTGGTAACTACACCACGATGTTCAATTCTAGCCTATATAAGTCTTCAGATTCGGTTCAATGTTTCAATGTTTCATTCACTTCATTTGCTTCTGTCTTGTGAATAGTTATGGAATGTTTTAATCACTTCATTTGCTTCTGAATAGTTATGGAGACAATTTCGACTGAAAACTCTTCAGCTAAAGTAAATTCATGAACATAGCTATGTTTTAAGTTTGAAATTCCTATGTTTTTAACATCTGAATTTTATTTCTAATTGATCGAATCTTTAATTTCATTGTATAATGGATTTTACTATTCATTTATCATTGTATAATTAATTGCATTCATAATTTCATTTATACTCTATAACTTTCATGGAGATTTTGAAGTTGATGAAAAAGGAAATCTCGACTCAAGTGGATCTGAATCGACATCTCATTTCTGACTCTGAGATTGTCGAAATAATTGATTTTTGTGTTAACTTCAGTCTGTACAAATCCCATATGGACAAGGTTATTTCTGAAGGGGTAAAAATTCATGTATTTTTTTTCATAAAAATCAACATCTAATTTGTTGATTATTTTGGATTTCTTTAATTGCCAAAGAAGAAAAGGAAATGGCAAGAAAAGAAAAATAAGAAATTAGCTTTGTCAACATGGAAATAGGAAGAAGGGGTTGATCTTTGTGCAAATGAAGATTCGAATGTGGAGCTATCATTCATACAACCGAAAAAGGAATTCAAAGTTTCGATTCAAACTCAAAATCAATCCATGACACTTTTTGATGAATCTGAAGATGATGAGTGATGCAGCTTTAAGTTTGTTCTCATTTGGTTTTCTGAATATTTTTGTGTTTTACATTTACTTCAGTTAGATGTTATTTGTTTTTCTCAATCAATGTTTGAAACTTTATGAATTTTAATATAATGTTTTTAGTGTTTTTATGTGTTTATTTTGTGAAGTATGAAAATATATGTAAATTGGACTAATTGTTGAGCATCGGTCATGTATGTTGAAATATACTTAAAGATCTTTGGTTTTGATATTATGTAAAATATATCATTACTTAGTATTTAGTGATTGCTTGCTTTAACCCTTTTCTTTATAGTTATAGGGTATTTCGGGGGGGGGGGGGGGAATGTAATTTGAGTTGATAGTATAGCTTAGAAGGGCATGTTAAGGTTTATCAAGGTTATAAGGATGAGATAGACATGTGAAGGCAAGTTTTGATTAAAAATTGTTTATGTAATTGTGGAATAGTTTGTGGTTATTGCTTGAGATTCGCAGCATTGAAGAAACTTGGAATCTCATCTCGAAAGTATGTTTGTTGTGTAACATCTCAAAAATACTAAGTAAAAAAATTTGTTTTTAAGTAAACCAAAACCATCAATCATTCATTTCAAACCATTAAAAGTATGACCATGTGGAAAAATAATTATCAGAGTACAATCCCAAAATCATAAAATGCTAAACACTGGTGGATGCGATGCGATCATGTCAGGTATTTCCTTTTTGAACCGGAAGTACCTGAAAAACATTTAAACATAAATCATAAGCACAAAGCTTAGTGAGTTACCCAAAACACAACATACCATACAAGCAACGGGCCCCGTCCAATTAGTATAACGGGCCTCGCCCTAACTCGCATAACGGGCCCCGCCCAATGAGTATAACATGCCTCACCCTAACTCGCATAATAGGCCCCGCCTAATGAGTATAACGGGCTTTGCCCTAACTCGCATAACGGGCCCCACCCAACATACAAAACATGCAAGTATAACATAGACAACTAGCATCCTACAAACATAATCCAGTGGGTCGGCATTGGTGCCTTAGACCCACGAGTACAGTCAAGAGACTCACCTCAATCCGATGATGAGAAAATCACACACTCGAGTTGCTGCTACAACGACTCCTCACACTGAACACATCCAAACCAACCCTAATTACTATTTAGGGTAATAACCCATAATTAAAGGTTCGAATCATAATCTCTATTACAAAGGGTAAAAGACCATTTTGCCCTTACCATACTAGACCCAAGTAAACATGGTCCAAGGTCTAAAATGGCCCGAATAGACTTTTGGGAGTACACCATGCGTGCTCCATACTTACGCCCAAGGTAATGGGTATTCACAGAAAAGGATTCTAGTCCAAACCCGATACGCAATACGTACCTGGAGGGTACGCCCGACATACTCCTCTGTTACCCAAAAATCACTTTTAATCTCTTAATGCTTAAAGACCATGTGTCCAGCTCATAGATCTTAATCTTGGGAAGTTCTTAACTGATAAAGTCGACAATTTTAAGCTTTTTCATGGCTTAATAGAGCCCAAAACCAAACCCTAAGTCCATAACACTCTTTAACAACCTCAAAATATTGCATGAGTGAGAAATAGCAACAAAGACTTCATTTTTATGACCCAAGATCCTTATAAAAATCATAAAGTAACAAACTTGAGCTCTGTAGTAGCTTTTACTCACGAGAACCAAACCATGGGACCAAAAGCATGCAAATATCAAAGCTAGTCTAGATCTAAGCTATAGAACCATAAAGTTATGAACTTTATACATCCAGAAGCTTGCAAAGGTGAAGGACACTACTAGAAAAACAGCCTTTTACGACGCGCAATCCGTGTCGTAAAACGCTCAGACGACGCGCAAATGCGTGTCAAGGAAGGCCCTGTCATAACGAGAGACGACACGCTTTTGCGCGTCATCTATAGACGACGCGCATTTATGACACGCAATGCGTGTCAAGGAAGGCCCTGTCATAAAGAAGACGACACACATTTGTGTGTCGTAACCTTACGGTGCACATTTACGACGCGCATTGCGTATCATTAAAGCCCCTGTCATAAAGAAAGACGACACACATTTTTGCGTGTCATAAAGTTAAATGTTTTAAAAATTATATATTTTAATAGATTTACTAATTTTCAAATTAAATAACACATTAAAAATCTCATAATACAAAATAAAATACCATAAATAACAAAGATAATTCATTTCACTAATATGCCAAATATAAATAATTATTCCAATAGTAAGTAAATGTTATAAAAAATGAACTCAAGAGAAGCAGAATTTATATACAATCGTATTATATAGCTTACTATGTGCCAACAACTCTCTGTGTGTTTGCTTTTGCTTGAGTCTCGTTTCCTCCAAAGCTTCTAGCCAAGTCAAAGAATGATATCTTAGGGTTCATGTCCAAATCAAGTAAAACATTGCTAGCTTAAATTCATCAAGTACTTGGCGTGAAGTCTTAATTAGATAGAAGCTTAACTGCAATCTCCAATCCTTCTAGCAGGCCCTAAAGATCATTATTAGCCATGTAGCAGGATCAACCTGCCAAAATTGGATAAGTTAAGAATATGCATCAAGATTGGTGAAAAGACATAAATGCCCCTACCTTGTATTCAACAGTAGCAATGTTTTGGCAGGAACTGGAATTGAAGAAGAATTGGAATCTGTCATGCGTTTGGTTGGCAGAAGATCCAACTACAAAATTTGATGATAACCAACATACTACAACGTTAATAATGGGGCTTAGAGTGCGTATGCTTGTATATTTGTAGAAATCGGAATTGAAATAACATGAATTTATGGAATCACTGGTAGGATTTTGTGAATCAAATTGAATTCAATTCCAATTACTGAGGAATCCAACCACCTCAAAAGGTAAGGTATATACAAGAAAACCAAAGGTAATAATATAACAGCGTACCTCCTCATATCGCCCATGCATGTACAAGAGTGTAGCATCTTCTAATTTTCGTGTAATTTCTGGACTAGTTTTCCTCTTTGGTCCCTTCTAGCTCCTACCTCGTTTCTTAATCTGTCAGAAATCATATTCGTCAAAAATCACAACTTCACTATAATTAAGATAGGTAGCAACAAGAGACTGACTATGAATGTTACAACTATGCATTCATTAAACACACATATATATATATATATATATATATATATATATATATATATATATATATATACTCCTACTAATAGTAGGAGTAAGAATCAAGACTGAAAAGAAAGTCTGGATGATGGTATACCTTTCTTTTTCTTCTCATTCCATATGTCACATTTCAGCCAATAATTCTTCACAGTTTGCTCCAGGGAAATCCTCTTGTCTCACTTCCACTCCATTTGTAATTGTGATTCACATGATGCCTCAATCCTAAATGACGGAATAGATTATACACCTGCACCAATAACAACTGTAAACTGTAAACCAACCAAAACTCCATATTCTTCCTATTACCAAATACAAAACATGCAAATGTCAAAAACAAACATAATGTTTGGTTTCGTGGAATAGGGATAGAATGAATTTTTTTAATTGTATGCACAGTTTTTAACTCTACTCTATACAGTATGTAATTATAAATATAATAAATGAACTTTTTATTTACAGATACACAAAATTAAATATAATACAACTCATTAAAACACAAATAAGATTCTAAAATATAAAAGTTATTTTTAAAAATAAAATTATGATTTTCTTTTCTTAATAAAAGAGAAGAGATTTGTATCATAAATTAGATTCTGTTCAATTCCAAGCTGGAATGAAAAAGAAAATAGCATCCCTTAGCCAAAGAATAAAAGATTCCATCACAAAAAATAGGCAGTTTTTTTTTATTCAGATGCAAGTGAGATCTTTTCATATGAACAGCAGAGTTACAAACCTTTTGATTCCCGCATGCCTCTTTAGCTGTCATTTTTCTCATTAAATTTTTGGGTCTGGATTCAAGTAAAGGTATACCCCTTAATTTGGCATGTTCTTCATATAAACCTTCATTGAAAGCATCACCAACAGCCTAAGGAAGGTAAAGGGTCAAAACTCAAAACTAAAACTTGTTATAGTCATCAATCTAATTCTAATTTTAACTTGTAAGCAAAATAACAGAAAAACCTTACTTTTGATATGAGGAGAACAAGCATGATAAGTGGTAAGAGCTTTAAATTATTTGTAATTTCAACCATAATAACACAAAGTGAGACTGTCA